CTGCTTTTAAAAATATTTGACTCCTTTATGTTCAGTTTCAGGGCAATTTACAAAGCAGTAACATGAGATCTTGGAAATATATTGCCCTCTATGGAGGTGGGTCGAAAAAATAGAATTTTCATTTGTTTTGTTTCATTTTATTTGAATTCAAATAATTCCATTAAAGTTTAGTTTATATGTTGCACAGGAAGTCTTTTTTGACTTGCCTATTCCTTCTGTTATAATTTGCACCTCAATTAAATTTTTTTACAATTCAAAAAATACTTCTATATGACAAACATATGGCATTATTTTTAAACATCATAAAAAAATTATTAAAAATTTTCAATCTTTCACAAAAACATATGTATTTTGGGGTGAAATTTTAATGAAGGTACTTTTTTAAAACTTTTTTTCCTATCCTTTTTTTACTACCGATATTTTGATTAATGCTCATTTTTCAACTATAATTTTTGATTTTTTATCCTACATTTTTCTTACTTTCTTTAAAAAATTTTGCTAAGCTTTCGTTACGCATGCATGCTATTTTCAACGTTTTACGGATACCTTACGTGATATATTATGTGTCAAATAGCGTTAAAAATGGAATATAACATACATTTCGCATATCCAAGGAAAAGACTTTTACTGAATTGCTTATCATTTTTATTAGTAATTTATAGAATATAACAGCTAACAAATTCTCAGTTATCAAATTTAGTCGTTGATTTATCGAAAATCATCATCAATTTATTAAAATTTCAAAAAGCTTTACCGACTTAAGATGAAAATTTCTTCAGCCAACTATGAATGCACTGCAAACATCAAAAGCAAAGTAACGAATAGACAATGACCTTCAAACAAAAGGCCATCCTTATAAAATATTCACAGTTCTAAGAACCGTAACCGTTTCCCAGCTCTTACAGTTATCCTCTAACAGATCTTCTGAGAAAAGCGACAATTAATGATCATTATGTTCATTATTTAACTAACTCTATCCAATATATATCCATTTGTTAAAGCTCTTTACCAGCCTATTATTCCTTTGATTATTTCCGATTTCTTTTTAACTATCGTTTTGTTTTATTTTAATCGATTCCGACATAAAGCACTAACAAATTCACATTAAAAATTCTCTTTTAATTGGGATGAAACGGCCATTAATATTTCCCAAAAAAAAATTCTTGCAAATTGGATTATGACTTAAAAATTGCTATTATGATAATTAGAGTTATGATCATGCTCGTTGCATCTTTTAAGCTGTTAAAAACCATTGTGATGAAGGGTAATATTTTAAAACTTGTTTTGAAAGGTGATTTTTTTAAAAAACAACTGAAATTTTGACACCTAATTTTTGAGTCCTACCTATGAATACAAAAGTTAATAAATGCATTTTCCCGGTACACTTATTTTATTCGCTTATTGTTTATTGTAACTCTTCTAGAGAGTTTCTATAATTTGTTTTACCAATAAATTTTATAGCTAGCGTTTTTCATTCACGAACAGTAATATTATTATCATTATTGTAATTTAAAGTAAGCTTAAAAGAGCAGATCGTTTTTAGCGAGCATTTTTAATTTAGAACAGTAAAACAGAAATGAAAATAGAGAAGGGACAGCGAAAAAGCATGAAATTCCGAATATGCTAATATGGAAAACTGAATACTATAATGACTTAAAATACAAAATACGGATTCTTCGATCCTTATTATATTTTTCTTTTTTTAATCATTTCAGTTCATATGTAATTTTACATTTTCACAACTTCTGCTAATTTTATATTATCATTGATTCGGTTTACCTGTACAGATTTATTCCATTCCATATTTTACTTTTTCAACTATTCCTTTTTAATATTTTTTTTTCCAACATATTTTATTCGATGACAGAGACGGTCATTTAATGCTTTTTTTTAACATTCGGATGACCACATAAGTTGAATGTGCGCTTCATCCCATCTCTTCTCTCTTTCAACGCATTCTTTCACTACAGAATATAGGATATTTTACAGGTAATAAGTAACCCACCTGTAAAATGTGTCAATTAGTCGTATCATAAAATCATTCCATTTGTTTTCATTTTTCTTCTCTGTCACAGCAAAAGTATTCGATAACGAAACGATCGTTTGTTGGTGGACGATTGCAAAAATTATTTATTACCCATTTTTGGCATTTGGCATTTGGTTGTGTCCTCGCGCTTCGTCACTGTTTTTTCCTTAAAAAAAAAAACTTTCTCATTTCCTCTTATCTGCTCCCTTTTTCTTTCCATTTTATAATGACCTGAAAATTGCTAATATTAAAAGAAATTAATTTTCCTATACTAAATAAATTTGAATAACTTCTGGAAACAACACTCAAATGAAAATATCCGAAAAACAGAAGAATCTTCGGTAATTTGATATAATCGATATGATTCATCCCTCAACTCTGTTTATGATCTTTCCAGTAGTAATTGAAAATAATCAGCAAGAAATAAGGAGGAAAATTAGCACTACTTAAGTTTTTTCATGTACCATTTTTATCAATTTATTGACCAATCGATGAACAATTCAAAAAGGCTTCACATCTTTAATCCGAATTTATGATATTTGCAAAGATACTTTTCAGTAGCCGATAATGAAACATAAACATTACATTTGGAATGAAACGAATTATATGAGTTTATTATTTGGATGAAAATGATACAATTGGAATATTAATTTACTAAAAAGTAAATTGAAATAGCATATTTACATACATCACATTTGTATCACTGAATTAACGAATAGTAGAATAAGCAGATATCAGTTAATTAATTATGGAATCCACTCTTACATGCTAGTTTTTATTGCGAATTGATGAATGATAGGATGAGTTACAGTTGATTGTATCACCTTATCAATGTCACTTAGGAACGCTCCAATTGCAGCTGTTAAAATTTAATATAGCAAAATTTAAGATTCTATCTCCATTTTAAAGAAGTTATTCCTTGTTAAAATTTTTTCCAATAAAACCTCAATTATTTTCATTGTAAATTTAATATGAAAATTATTTATCAGTCCTCGTCTTATCTCACTTACATAGAGTATTTTTTTGCTCTCTTAAAAATGGTTTTAGATTTGATGTCAGCACCAAATTCATGCTTTCGGATCAAAAGATATTTATATATGAGTCAAAAATACCCCAAAATTATCATTTCTTGTTCTGACACCTTTTTCAATAAGAAAAGTATTTACATCTTTATCTTCTCTGTTAAAGTTTTCAATCAAAAAAAAAGTTGGAGTTATTAATTTATTAATTTCAAGATTATATGAATGAGAACAATTTAGAAAACAGCAGAAAGTTGATTAAAACCGCTAATGTCAGCATGGATGAATTTTCTGATAAAAATACTGAATATAATTCCATTCGTTGTGAAATTTGCTTTGAACCATTTCACATCAAAAAACGATTACCAAAATTGTTACCTTGTGAACATAACTTTTGCGAGCAGTGCATTATATCACTTTGTTGCCATCAACAGGTAATCTTTTGGATACTATCATATTCACTTATTTCAAAGTAGGTAAATCATTTCTTCCTAAATTTTTGGATGTAGATTATGGTGACAGTCATATAACTGGAATATTGACTCTTGCAATATATGATGTGAAATTTCAGTATTATTTATTGGATTCGATTAATTGCCCTACGTGCCGTTCCGAATTCAGTACCTCAACAGCTCTTGCTGCTACGACTAATTATGATTTATGCGGCAAGTTATTTTTTTAATTACTATTTGATCATCTATCCGTAAATTTTATTCGTTGTTGAATTATCTAAATGAAATTTCTCATATCGTAATATCAGTGAATACAAATCATTGCTTACACATTTTCCTTTTGTTTAGTATTTTTCATTTCCGATATCAATTCCTATCAGTTAGCAACTTGATTGATTATTACTTCGATTTATATCTTTAACCTTAACCTTATAAGATATTTTCTGCTACAACAATTTTGAATCCTACAATTCAGAATTACTGGAGACAGTACAACTGCAACAAACGGAGGTCACCAATGATACTAATATAACAGTTATCCATGTCCCCGACAATAACTGTATCACGAGGAACAAATTAATCAGACTACGTTCCTTACATCGAAATTCAAGACCATCGTCTGAACCTAAAAGATGCCAACTGATGCAATGTACAGATTGTTCTCGAAAAATGAATGACAAGAGGTGTCGGAAGGAAGCTCGATTTTGTGTAAGCTGTTTTAGCACCAAAAAAAATGACGATGATTGCTTGGTAAATTATCATTGATTTTAGAAATTAATTACATTCTCTTCTGTTTTCGTTCTGCTGTATTTGATTACAAGTTGTGCGCTAAATTGTATGATTACGCTACAATTCCTTTTGACAGACAAAGCGCATCAAAAGTACTAAATTTCATTTTCACAAATCACTTAAATCCTTATCACAGATGCATTCCTTTCTCAATAACCACTGAAATATCCATCTAAACCCGAGAATTCCAGATTCATCTTCAATAGTTGTACGGTCTTGTTTTGCATGAAATATTTGCAGCGCGTAATATGTCTGGAATGCTGCGTAAATCGACACAATGGCCACAAATTGATAACTTTGAGTGAGCTCGAAAATGAACATCAAAAATTAATTAAAGATTTGCATAACTTACAACAAAGCATTCAGGTCTCAACTTTTTCAATGATAATTTTAATAATTTCAAAATGAATAAGCCAAAATCAGAAAAAATTAAAAATTGCTGAAATACAATGATACAATCTACCATAAATATTATGATAGTAATAATGAGAAATGTTTTGGATTTTAGAAAATAAACAAATGGATAGAGGCCAGTTTAAAAGTACTCAGTGAAGATTGTACGATGTCTGCAGCAGATTGTGTTGCACTGCGCAAAGCGAAACAGGTACGTTTTTGTGAAGATTGATGGATAATTTTTCTTATTGAATTTCTCGTTTAATATTCATGCGCTATTTCACATTACATTTAATTTCAATTTAAAAATATTCGAAAAGGAAAAAAGATCATTCTTGCAATATTTTCACAATTAATCCCTTAATAAATATTTTGTCGGAATTTGTTATTTTTATTTCAATTGTGACAATTTCATGTTCCAATATTTTTTTACTATAATATATATTTAATGGGAATTTTTTACAGAATCTTCGAAATGAATGTGAAGCCGATATGAAATTTGCCTTGTCAGTTTTAGAAAACGGTGGTATAATTCCTTTACCGCCTAAAGCTCTGCAAAGAATGAGACAGCATCAGTATCACAATAGCGCCAGATTGCATAAATTGTTACATTTTATCGAGGTTTGTATTGAAAGAGACAAAAGAAATGCAACAGTCATCGTTGTATTCTTTCTTAAATGTATAAATGTATAGTCATTTCCATTCAATCTATAATAAATCTTTTGGAAAAATGTTATTACATTTCGGAAAAAAAATTTGAAATATGATGTGAATTTTTAGAAATATAATCAATCATCAATTAAGGAATGCTATAATCGAAGCATTACAGTAAACACTTCAAGTGAGTTTATTTTAAATGACAATATTTTTCAATTTTACATAGTAAGATATATTTGATGCTTAATTCAGTCTTAAATTTAATGAATTGAATTTGATCTTGTAACGGTGTCAGCAGAAAAGCTTACTTGTTCTAATTTTCAAAAAAAAAAAAACAAAAAAAAACGAAAGAAACAGTAACACTGATTTACAGCGGACTGCTCGGAATGAATATTTGAATTTGCGTTTACATGAAAAAGGCGAAGTTGATAACCATTAATTTAAATTTCTTTATGCTTACAATATATCGGTTTATTGTGCTGCTTCGAACACCCTTAAAATTAAATCAGCAATTACCTGTAAACTTTGATTTAAAATAGATTGTGTAATTAACAATATTGCTAACAAAAACATGAGAAATTGACTAAATTTCAAGAAGTTGTTATACAGTGGACAATCCTGTATAAAGTTACTTACTTACAGAAGCAGGAAATTCGATAACGATATTTGCGCATATGCGAAATATCGATTCTCGAAATGAAAGACAAATAAGCATAGCAAATACTGTCAAATTTCAGTATCGCACTCGTCGCTGTTTTCCCTGAATCGTCAAACGTGCATCACCCTGTGCAGTAGCACTTCCGACGATCGATCAGCAGCAGAAGCAGTTGCTGCGATAGTGGCAGTTTGTAAGTCACGTGATGGAAGCGGAAACAGAATGACGGTAGTGGAAGAAGCCCTGAAAGTGATGAGCAGGAAAAATTTAAAAAAAGCGGTACGACGGACAGCTTTGTTTTGTTGCGCGAAACAGCTGCGCGAATCGATCGACGAGTACTGTATTTAATTTATTTAGATCTGATACCGGTATTGAACGAGTTACTAAATAATTTCATTCAGTTATAAACAATAAAGTGATAATAGAAATGTCTATTCTGTTTTCTCCCTTAAAATTTTTCAAGAACGTTTAAAGCCAACTGAAAAATTTCACCGTGATTATTGATTAATTTTACAGAAGTATCAGTAGGCAATCAATACTTCTTTACATCGACGCCTATTTGCACATATTTTATCAGTTAAATCTTCTGGTGACACAATTTCCATCCGATGAAGATGATGGTCAAGATGTCGCGGTAGTAACGCGATGGGACATTTGGAAATTGATACAAGTGGTATATAGTGATCTGATGAGATGTGCTGCTAAGGTAAATATTTAAATAAATAAGTTTATCAGTGCTAGACTGTAGAGTTTCTCGGAATTTCGAGATTCATTTAATTTTTTTTTATCGAAACTGAGGAATTCAATGATAAACTCTTCCTAGCAATAACTATATCATTTATTAATATCTGATAATAATCACACCACTTATTATTATCAGTTAAGATACATTTTATTTGATTTATTAGATTTTGACCGAAATTTCTGAAAGCTGATTGCTCAAATTATAACCTAATTTTGGAATTAATAAGAAAATGAAAAAAAATGAGAAGAGTTAAAAGAAAAATGGAAAGGGATTTAATGGGTAATGTGATATATTTTGGGCCATATTTAATGATAGTTGAAAGTGCATTCTGAATATTTAATTTTATCGGACGAATATTGATAGTGTAAGATGAAAAATTTGCAGCACTGGGAGAGCGAAGAAAGTGAACGAGTAGACTTGGTGGATGACTTGGCCTTCCTTTGTTCTCTGTACTCAGACGTGAGTGATGAAGCAACGATTACAATTTGTATGATTGAAGCTGCTCGTGCTCGAGCTGCAGCTACAGTATCTCTCTCCGCTACCACTGTTAATGATGAGAACGAAACTGAAGATGACGGACGACTTACAATGAATATTAGACTTAATGTAGATGCATTCCTTTATTTAATAGTTTCTTTTTATAACTTATTTTTCTAACTTTTGCCTTTCCAAATAGCAAAATACAATGACTAAATTGAAACTTTTTATTATTACTAGTATTTTCTAGCTATTTCAGTAATTTTTCCTTGATAAATTAAAACAGCCTTCGTACATTTTATTGCATTCCGCGTACCACTTTGAAACCATTTGTATTATCGAAACTAATTCATTCTTAGATTTTCAGCTAATCGATGAGCATCTATTGGAATGTCGTCGAGTGCAAAAGCTGCAACGCTTACGTGCAGCCACTGTCATACGATCGCAGAAATGCGTTCGTCAGCAATCGCTGAAACAACTATGGAAACTTTTTTCCGCCTGTTTCAATAACTCTTCGCAACATCAGTGAAACTTTTGTGCACTCTCGCTGCTTTGTGTAAATAATCTCATTGTGAAAAGAAAAATTGTAAGAATTCAAATGCAATTCTCTCACTTTTCCGCAACAAAAATCATTTATCGCAACAGCGCATCAAACGATTAGTGACTCGAATAAAATATCAATACATTAACACTGTACACACAACCAATTTTAGTTTTTTAAAGAGAAAAAAAAAGAAAGTATGTCTATCTTCAAACTGTTCAATTTCCTTCAGTTTATCTGCTGTTATCTTAAACTTTTAATTAGCACTGCTACAGTTCATGATTAAGAGTTAAACTCAGATTTTGTGAAAAAATTTATGCCAAATGCTGAATAAAGAGAATAGTTGTAATTAGAAGCGCAAAAGAATGTAAAGAAGACGTATATTTTAAAGGAAAAAAATGAAAATATTGCATGAAAAAAATTGCAAATTCATAAAGTATGGCCATATGCACCATTAAAAGATCCCGATCTATGCGTGCGTGACACATATGTGAATAAATTTGCATAAGAAACGGACAAAAGAAAATTTTAAATTGAAATGAAGTTTAGCTCACTTCTCCATTGTGCACAATTGTCAATTGGTGTATTGCTGTTCTAAATTATACCAGCGATTATCGCATATTTAATGTTAGTGAGAATTTTCCCAGTTCATGCTGTATTATTTTCATATTTTACTACATTATTCTAAAATAGCCTAAAGATAATCATAATAGTAAGTGGTGAAGAAAAGAAGAATGAATAAGGCGATAAATTTTGTTCAATTTAATTAAGACAAGTGATAATTTATCAGAAGTTAAATATGCTTTTAATTTTCAAAAGTTTCTTCCAGTTGTGTAATAATTTTCATTTTATAAAATTTTTTCTCATTTAAATCTTTTATTCCAAAAACAAATTTATTCTAAATTTCATTTCAAAATTTTGAATGATAAATTACAGAAAATTCCTCGTAATATTTGATAAGTGAAGGGAAAAGTGATAATGCCAGCTGCCATCAATGGGTTTTGTTTGTTTGCGCAGGAATTACGAACCAAAATAACAGGACGTAGGCATTACTATCAGGACGATGTAATTTCACCTTATTTGATCCGTATCATAACACCACTATGGGAACGCCTTACAAGTGAGGAGAAGAAGGTTAGTTCATAAGATTGAGTGACTTTTCAGTGTTTAATTATAATCACTCTTTCCTAATTAACTTCAAGTATACCAAAAAATCAAGCACTTTTCTCTCATATAAATCTCGACAACCACGCAGTCTGTTGAGAGTAATGAGTTAAGGTTAAAATTAAGAAGATTTGATTTATCAGATTCAGAATTGTGAATTCTCAGAGATCATGACCTCTTTCTATCATCTACAACATATGCAGAGATTATATTTAGGGAATATCATAATAAGCAATTAGCCTAAATTTTATAACCAAAAACACAAAGGTATATAAATCGACTAAATGTACAGTTTAATAATTTTTAAATAGATTTGGAAGGATCGGGCAAAAATGAAACGTCAGATTGAGGAATATTTCACTTTGTTGCATCGGCCAAGAATGATGGTGAAACGAAAGAAATACGAAAATGGAGTGGTGGAGTAAGTTTTGCATATTTTCCAGCTATTTTTTTCAAAAACTGTTCAGAAATAAATTGAATAATGGTGAAAGAAGAAAATGATTGAGCAGTTATGGTGTAAAAATTTGCATATTTGATAACCTCGCCAATTTTATTGTTAATATTAACTTTTGTTTACTGCTATTCAAAATATTAATTGAAGAAATTTGTAGTGAAGAAATTGATGAAACTGATAACGGAGCACAAAGTGAGAGACTTGATGAATTTGATGAAAACGATTATCCAGAAGATTCAATGATCGGTGTCCCGTTAAATGAGAAGGATTACGATTCAGAAGGTACATCAATGTCAGCTGATCGATTCAACATCAACAAAATGATTTTAAAAGGAAAGAATAGCCATCTTCCGTAGTACTTTTATATCCTACTCAAATAAAAATATTTATATGATTTGGAATTTTGAATTTAAAAAAATTCCAGAAAATAGTATCAGTCAATGGACTTACAAGGAGAAGTATGAAAATGATAAGAGACAAGTGCTTGCATATCTACGCACTCTTAATGGATTGGATGAAATTCGAGTTAGTATTAAAAGTTTGAAATTTTTTGATTTGTTTTTCATACATATTAAAGAGGAAATAGCAAGTGTGAATGATTGATCAATCAGTAAAATCTAAAGTTTTTTTAAAATTATTTAAAATGTTCCAGAGAGCTCGATTTTTGTTTATTTCGGTGCAAACGTATGGAGACATAGATGGTATATGCATTCCTGCTGAAATTGCAATTTGTGAATTTAATCTGAAGCACGGTATTATTGATAAGGTGTTACCTCTTAGCATCATTTTTTCTAATTGAAGAATACGTAATCAAGAAATGATTAAACTGTTCCAGTACAGTAGCACATACATAATCATAGTAGCAAAAAGAAAAATCATCAAGAAATACGTCACAATTTAATCAGTAATTTAAAAAATTATTGGATTTGTAATATTACTAACTATTAAATCAAAATTATTCAAGTTTTAAGACAATGCTTTATTAATTTTTATATGTGATATCATGATACATGCGATAGCATAAATAAGTTTATATGACTGAAACTTTCATTAGTTAAAAAATGTTTACAGTACACATCGATTGTTGGACCGTGGCGTTTGAACGATGAAATACAACGACGAAGAGCTGAATTTCATGCAAACGAAACACACCAAATTCACTTAGATATGTTCGATAGAAAAATATTCAAAGTTCCAACTCAAAACTCGGTGCTTTTTCTTGAGTTTCATACTGCTTCTCCGAAATGTCACATGGATATATCGAAAGCTCATTCCTTTTTTTTTTTTAAAATGAATTTAATTAATGCGATAAATTCATCTTCTTCAAAGACATCATGGAAAAGAGAAAAGATAAAATTGAGACCTTATACAGACTGTTCGATTTGATTTTTTTTGTTTGAAATGCTCAGAATTATATAAGTGTTGGATATGTTCAAAAACTTTTCGGGAAGCCGAATAAAAGATAAAAGTATAAATGGATTAGATTCGAAAATTAATAAATTATTTAGTGATAATTGAAGTGCGTCGTACATTATTACAGTGTTTGAGAGAAATTTTGGGTCGCTGTGAACCAGTCATTGCGCAATACCAAGGCGTTTTTGTTGGCCTCTATCGTGATGGAATTGTTGAATTCGACAATGATGTGGTAAGTTGAGAATTCAAAATACCACCTAATTTACTTGAAGTCTACTTATTTGAAGGTATTTTCTTCATTTCTTCATAGGAACAGCGGGTTTTGGTAGCCTCCTACAATAATAGTCGTGATAAAGGTGTTTACCATCGAAGAACACCTCAACGCGGTAATGGTAGCAATGGTAACAGTTGCAGCAATCGAACATGTTAGTTGTTTGAATGACATCATGCAATTGGATAAATTTGAATATTAAGATGAAAATGATTCAATTTTTCAGAAGTATTACTTCTAATCATTCGGATATAAATTAGAATTTATAGCATCAATTACTGATAAATCTGATATTATGATGTGATATGATATATCTTATTCATTTGAATAAACTATATTCTTCTTCCAGATACAACATATTACAACAAAGAAAAGCGAGTGAAGTTCACCAAAGGTAAGCATAAATATTTAGAAGTTATTTATTCACTCAATTTCTTGTAAGAGAGATTTTTTCAATCATCTCCGATCATTATCCCGGTACAAACAGTGCTATCCTAATCAACCAGAACTGAAAATTTTGAAGAGCGCTTTATTTCAACACTATTTTTGTCTTTTAAGTCAAAACAAACTGACACATTATTTATGGATCGGTAAGAAATTGTCATCCATCCAAGAACAAAATTACATAAATGTTAGCTACTCTCAACCGTTAATGTTCTATCAATCCCGACGTCTACTGCTTAATGACAAAATTTTCCTGTTTTTTAAATCATTGTATTCATAGACCTGTAGGGTCACGGTGCTTAAAAAGTAACAGAATTCACGGTGATTGATGAGCTGTATTGCATTATTATGATGAAGTAAAACTCTTACTAATACTGTTTGATTTGCATCTTGAATAGGTTCCACAAATGGTTATCATGGGTCCAAACGTCTAGAACAAGCAAGACCAATTTTTGTGGCCAACAAAGAAGGACGTCGTTGGTTAATTTGTCTTAATCATGAATACGAGAAAATACGTGCAAGCCTCGAATATCTTAAACAAGCACAGGGACTCTCTTATAATGGTGAAAAATTGCTGTTCATATCTATCAAATAGATAGCTTTAGAAAAATTAGCTTTCCAATTCAACTATTCAAGCTTGTAGTTTTATTTGCTCTTGCAAAAAGTATTATGAAAATTGAGCTTGGTAGGATTTGTTTGATAAAGATATAAAAGATTTATAATGATTTCTGCAAAAGCATGATTAACCATTTCGTACAAAAATGGCTATATTTAAATTTTTGAATTTCTTTATTGATTTTAAGAAATTATTAAGTCAGAAATAAAATCAAAAAATCTGATTTATTTATAATTATATTATCAAACTATCGACTGCTTCTTTTGTATATTTTCCTCTAAATCTTTCCCTAATTAAATTGACAACATTCTAAAATCTTATTGAGCACTTATTTTTAATTTAACTGTCGTACTTATAAATGTTTCAATTTTAGGATTTCCTACAACAGCAGATCGTTTCTGGTACGCTAATGCTGTGGTTGATGCTCTTGCGGAATATGCTAACGGTGCACCTGATTCGGAATACAAATTATGGATGGATGTCTTTGGAAAAAGACAACCATTTGAGGTTTCTGTAAAACTCTATGGGGCGAGAATGATATCGTATATTAGATAAGGTATTGGTTCAACAAGCCACTGCAGATAGAGCACATCAAATAGCAAAAATTTGATTTAAATGTGAAATTAAAATTCAAACGACTGGGAGACGTTAAAATCTCTTCTTAGGATGATAAATAATGTGGAAGAAATGGCTAGAAGAGAGTTAATATTGTAATATCTTTGACAAATACTTTTGCAGTTTAACACACCATGGGAACGTCGGGCCAATGTATTTTGCCGAATGCATGGCGTAACACGAAATTGTTGTTGCGCTTCCGCAACTGCCATTCGAAGTTGCTTTGCGATCTTTTTTGCACTTCGTGAACTTCTGGACCTAAATTTGGATGATTGAAACGATACATAAATTTAAATCCAAAATTGGTTGAATTAGTTATATCGCTTAGTTAATATTGCTTTATAAAAAATTAAAATCTTTTATTGTCAATGTAGTAAATATTCAATACGATATGCAAATTTAAATTCCAATCAGTTGAATTCATTTAAGTCAGTTAGTATTTTTACACTTCATTAGCCATGAAGAGATAAAATGGTTGACAGTGTAAATCATATATTGATAAAGCGCATGAAAATAGTATTATATGCAAAATGTAGAAATAATAATTGAATTGTTAAAAGTATAAAAATGTATAAAAAAATCATTAATATTCAATTGGATTAAAATTCACATGTGATTCGCAGTTTTTTTTGAAGCTACTATTAAAAGAAATTTATGTATAACCAAAAAAAGAAAATAAAATACAACGGTATATTTGATAAATAAAAATTTTTGATATTTGAAATGCATGCATTTATATAAAGAAAATCAGAATATTCATTAATATTCCAATCTAAAACAGATATGTGATTATTTCAAAAAGAAAGGAAAGTAAAAAGGTTAGTAACTTTTAAAAAATTGCGGCGCTAGAAGGATTCGATAATTTTTTTTTAAAAAATACTTGTTTTTGTAAGGTTGTACGTGCAATGAAAATTAATCTTTGCTCAATGTAGGGTTGTAAATGTAAGGTTGTAAATACAATGAAAATTAATCTTTGCTCAATGTTAATGGAAAATGATGGTGCAAATGTATTCTGCTGACAAGAGACTTGTGGAAAATAACAAAATTTATCATCGATATTTCACAGTAATTGTCGATTTTCCTGCATTGCATTCTACTAAAAAGCAATGCAAAGATTAAAGATGAGTCATTGTTCATAATTTGTTTTATATAATTGAGTTGCTGCTGCAACATTCAAATTATATGTTACCTATTAAATTCGGTTAAAAAAGATTCACTTTAATCAAGCTAAATGACTTAAAATTTAACAAACTACTTTAGAAAGAAAGAGAAAAATAGTCGAAATAAAATTTTTTAGTGTAAAAAAGCACTTTTTGCAATTGTGAAACAAATAGAAAAGCATTTTTTGCGAGAGTGAGAGAAAACGAAAATTGTTATATTATTTTCATTCTTTTTTTCACTATTTTGAATTCAATCCTCCTATTTTTTCGAATTGAATGTATGTTACAAAATTTGATAGATTGGACATTTTTAACGTAATAATATTTTCTTGATTCTAAAACAAATTTATAATAGTACCAAATCGTACTTTTTCAATTGATATCATTCCTATTTTTAATATAAGGAGGATTTTATAATTTTCAAATATTTAATTGATGTTATAATGTAATATTGCTTTATCTCAGGTGAAATTTCATACTCTTAAATTTTCCAAAAATTTTATCAAACATGGGTTTTGATTATTGAATAAAACATTTGTACATATTTTGATCAAATATATTTTGAGAGTTCAACTGACAATTTCTATTATATTCTTTACTATGTATAGTGCTCTCTGATAATAAATTGAAACTCGCAAAATGTTTCTGAATCAAAAAATTTACTTTTCTTTTGCCTTTAATCGTTTTTCTTTTTGTTTTATTTCACAAATTTATTTATAATGACCACAACAACACTGTGATGTAATGCTAACACTGCTTACTTTATTTACAATGACCACAGCATCGCTGTGATGCAATGCTAACATTGCTTACCTTATTTGATAACAACAATGTAATGCTGACGTCATTCAAGCTATTTATAGTAACCGTAACAATGTTATTATATTTGCTTCACTCTCATCACTCTCATCTCGCAACATCATTGATTATGCATTTTTAAGGCACATTAATTTGCAGATATAAAACTTGAATAGATATTTCTTTAATAATTATTTTGTTTTAATAATTAAATTTCAATAATTATTTTCTTCAGGCACTACCTGATGTTCACGTTGTATTATTTATTTGTCCTACTACACTTTTCTCTATTTAACTGTGCGTTGAATAATGCAACAGATGTGAAGTTAGGACGTCTCATTTACGTGCAAGCTGTCTGGCGACATGGTGATCGTGCGCCACATCGCTTACGTTATCCGAATGACCTGAACAATGAGCGTTCTTGGCCAAGAGGATGGTCTCAGCTAACTAATGTTTGATTTAAATTTTTGCAAAAAATTGTAACAAATAGACATTTTTTTAAACAATGAATAATTTTGATTTTAGGAAATATTTCAAGTTTTTAGAAAAATTTAAAAGCAAACAACAAAATTTGTTCATGCGACAACAGGACTAAATTTCTTTAAAATTTATCGAACATATGAATGTTAATTTAATTTCGAAATACTTCTTAACAACTTGGATTGTTCAGCAGTTCAAATTAAGTTCCAATGTAACTCAATTGTTAGACAAATTTTTGTAGACGGGATGCTATCCTCACTTTATGACCTCTCTAAAAAGTTCAAAATGAACCTATTCCAGTTTACATTCAATGGTCTTATCAACTGTCAATTTTTCAAATGAAACGAAAATTTGAATTTATTTTTTACAATTTTATAAATTAATTTTTTTTGTTACAGATGGGAATGAAACAATTATATGAGTTGGGTCTTTTCTTCCGAAAACGCTATAATGGATATATTGAAGAATTTAATCCGAATGATGTAATTATTCTACCATTATAACGTTTTATTTGTTGTTTAGTTTTAATTGGCTTAATTTTAATAATTGCTATTTTAAATATTTCAAAATTTATTGATAAAAAAAATATCTCATTACAGGTACTTATAGCATTTATCTTTTATTATGATTACATTTGAATTTAATGCCGATAATTTCAGATACGAATCCTAACATCACAATCGGATCGAGCGATCGTTAGCGCTCAAGCTTTATTACGTGGACTCTTTCCGGTTAACAATACTGCTATGCAGTGGTTAAAAGATGAGGAATGGCAACCAATTCCCTTCCATAGCGAAAGCAGCGAACGGAATGGAGCTGTTAGTTGCTTTTTCCGAAATATTCATTCTTCCATTTATTAATTACCATATGCTTTTCAGCTTCTTCATTCGACCCTTCACCCTTGCCCACGTTATGATCAACTTGTAAAGAATGAAATGGCTGTGATTGCTGATACGATGATGCAGAAATATGCTAATGTTGTTCATTTTCTTGCAAATGTGACTGGAATTGGTAAAAAATTAAAGTTTGACCAAATGGCTGCACTGTTTGATATTCAACGAGAGGTATTTTTTTTGCACGTGTATTGTTAAAAATAGAAATAATGGTTGGCTATTATAATAATAGCTATTGGCTATAATTCTAAGAACATTAATTTGTTAGTCATTGATTTTTGGGATTTGGAGTTGAGTTTCAAATTTACAATTATTTTCAAGCTTTTTTCTTCGTTTAAAGTTATTTTAAGAGAAATAAAGAATTTAGTTTTAAAGAAATGAGATCGAAAAAATTTTTTAAAAAAGGTAAAAATACTTTTTATCAAATTATTATTTGTGTTTTTTCCGAATTTTTATATGCTTAAAATATTTTACAAACTTTTGATCAAAAATTTTAGATAATTCATCAACTTCCACAACCAGAATGGGTTTACCAAAAGTGGCCACAGTTCCAAGATATGCGCACTATTGATATCATCACAGAATTTAAGCGTATCAGTCAAATTTCGAAATATAATACGTCTGAAAAAGCTCGATTTAAAGGTGGCTTGCTGCTCGGTGATATTCTGCATCGATTTCAGAATGTTTCTGCTGGCACTGCAGTAGAAGCGCGTAAAATGTTTCTCTATTCTGCGGTAAATTCTTACGATAACCTTAGGCATTTGCCTGAACTAATTGTAAAAAGAAATGTTTATGAATGCAAATCGTTCCAATTTGATTAGCAGTTAAAAAGAGGAAATAGCGAAATTTTTCAAATTAAAAATGCACTTGCCTTATCCACGTATCAGTTACCATGATATGAGTTAATCAAGAGTTTATTTGCAGCATGATGTGACAATATTATCACTGCAGCATGCATTGAATGTAAGCAACAATTTATTAGTACCATATTCGGCATGTCTAATTATGGAACTGTATCAAACAGAAATAAACGAAACAATAATAAAAGTTAGTTTTACAATTCAAACTTAATCTTAACCAATCAGTTGTTGCTTAATTTACAATTTTAGAAAATTTTAAAATACTACCAATTTTGTTGGAAATCATTAAATTTTCTCGCTGAAATTGTTATCCTTCCGAATTTCAATGTAAAGATTTTATAAGTTCAATTCTTTCTAGATAACTCTGTTATTACAATTGTCACATTTGAAGTTACCTACTATATTTGATCGATGAAAATCCTAATAATCCATATATTTTAGAAATTGTTTGCTCATTTGAGCAAAATGCGCTCCAAGCAATAGTAACTATTTTCAGTATTTATATATACAGTTACTGTTCTGTTTCATCTTTTCCTGAAAATACTTCGATTCTATCAAAATCACGAAAGAAGTGTAAATTTAAATAAGTATTTCAATATTTTCAACATCTTCACCTCAAGCTCAAATCAAACTTATCTTAAAATCATTCTTCTTATAACTTGCATGTTATTGGACTAATAATTTCAAATGAATACGAAGAGATTAAGATAAATAGGGCTAAATCGAAATAAGATCTTTAATTTAATCATCTTACTTGCAAATTAAATTAATTAATCTAAAATAATATGGAAAATGGGAATATGTACGTTCGTCTTTTTTATGATCAAATAATATATCATAATTGTAGATTCTATACAAGAACGAAACAGAAAATGCAAATATTTATGAACTATTCATACCACATTGCTCGGTACCATGCAAATTAGATCAACTGATCACATTAACTGCCCCAATCATTCTGAATACGGTGGATGATCTGAATAAGGTGACTCAATTATTTTGTTATGATCGACAAAATGAGATCATCATTGATCTTCATTTCAACCTGTCAGATGAAAATAAGCGGAGTGATAAAATTTTCAAGAAATTTTTGAATTGTTCGTATTTTTATCGATAAAAGGAGCATTTGGAAGGAATAAAAAAATCCATCAAAATATTGAATGTAAAAATTCAAAGAAAAGAATTTAAATATACTATGGAATTGATGTTTTTAAGATTTTAAATTTGCTTTTTTTAAGATTTGCGAAGGAAAAGAGCTTACAAAAAACGATTATGATACGAAGGGTAGTAATAATGATGCAAACCGACATAATATCACAATGATGTTTTCGATTTTCACTTCTCATGTGCTATTGTATTTATTATCGATATGCTGTTATCAGTAACAAATTTTTTTTCCAATTGTTTACTGCTTTTCGTGATATCGATTTTATAATTTTATGATTTTTAATATATATGTATACTCAAACACTTCACTCATGACCTCTTTTTAATTCTTTAAAAAAAAATCTCCCTAAAAAGACAAAGGATATTTAATAAAATATGCTAAAATTATAGCATGAAACTATTTCATTTTCAAAATTTATTGCCTTCAGTATCACGAAAGGTTACGTTTGAATATAATTGTTGACTGGTATCATACACGTTACGTCTTTAACAACGATTATTGTTGAAACGGATATCATCATTTGTTTTTGCAATATGAAATCTTTCGGATAGTAATAATTAATAGTCTTTGTTGTTGATGTCATACAAAAGAGTATGAATGATATAGTTATTAACGAATTCATTCAGGGATGGAAGTGTATTTCACTTTCGGGACTGTATAATCGTGACAGCTATTGCTTACATCGCTTATTGTTGATAGATCATAAATAATATTAATAGTTGTTGCAGACAATGAATCAAAAAGTTGTTAATTCT